CACTTCAACACAGCCAGAGTTTCTAAGATTCTCCTCAAATATGTTGGGACTCGAGAAATCCTTATGAGATTGGGCACCCATTCCATGATGCTTAGACAGCAAAGCAAGAGAGGTGCATCCCAACCAATTCAAATGGGATCTACCTTCTTTCTCTGTACAGGTAAGAGTAAGAAGGACTTTGCCGAGTCTATCATACTTAGCACCTAACGTGGTCAGTGCTGATAATACAACTACAGTAGCGCTTGGCTTCCAAGCTTTCAGATCACTCAGCTGCTTAGCAGACGCGAACAGAAAAGGTGAACATGTAAAAATACAGAATCACCCAATTCCTTTTTCCTTCGTTCCATCTGACTTATGACCCTGTTCAATTTATATGCTCTGCCAGCTAAGACCATTATTCTACTGGGCTGTTTCAGCGGGGCATGAAGATGTGCACGTAACATATTCCTTCCTTCCTTTCGCGTGGCTCTTTATGGAATCCAGTTATATGGAGTATTTTAGAGTAAAATACCAAGTTAGCACCTGCAGCTCTAAGGTGCAAACATTACTAGCCACAGCAGTAAGAAGGCATCAGACTGGTTTATCTTCCTGGTTTTTAAGCTGCAAGGTTTTTGTGAAATGATACTTTTGCCTAAGGTTCTTTCCATTGTGTTTAAAGGAAGTCGACGCTTAATCCCTTCTTTTTGTTGTGTGTTGTGATTTCTAGGCCTCCTCGCTGCCTCGCAGGTCTTCCAGCTCAGTCATGGCTTTGGCACCTTTAATGGCTGAGTGCTTCTTGCGGCGGAACACAGCTGAGATCTCTTCAAACGACTTTCCTTTTGTTTCTGGTACTTTAAAATACGCAAATAGAAAGAAGGCTAAAAGCAGAGCTGCAAAGATCACGAACACATATGGTCCACACAGATCCTGCAATGGGAAAAGTGAGAAAAGAGGAACCATCACGAGCACTGCAGGGATTCCTTATCATTTGTACCACAGATGGTTAAGATTTTCAGAGGGATTTGGGTATCTGGGAGATACATGCATGTCCCACTAGGCTCCTTTGGAAACCTCACCCAGCACCGGGATCACACAAGTCATTTATTTGTAAGGTTTTAGAAGGATTTCTTACTGCAATGTACTGGAAACACATTCCAATGATGAAGTTGCAGGTCCAGTTGCAGAAGCCAGCGATTGCGATGGCAGCAGGGCGAGGGCCTTGGCTGAAGAGTTCGGCTACGATAAACCAGGGGATGGGCCCAGGCCCAACTTCAAAGAAAATGACGAAGAGAAAGATTGCAACCATGCTAACATAGCTCATCCAGGCAAACTGGCTCTGCAAGAGAGTGAATTCAGTGTTACAGTCCCAACATGACTCTCATTAGCTAGCGCTAACTACTTTAATCGCAGTTCTCTTTCAGAAATTTCTTCCTACTCAGACAAGCGAGGAAAAGGACTGGACATGCATGAATAAAACTCCCAGCGGATGAACAGTAGCAGGTCAGATACTGCTGTTTGCTGCACTGGGATAATCTATGAGATCACCAGTAACACGAATTGTGTTATCCTGGGTCCCAGCAGCAAGAATCAGAGTTTGCCTGGGGCTGTAGCCACGACTAAGGTGCGACCGCTGGCTCTCCGCAGCCTCCCTGGATGGGCTCCCTGAGTGGATGCCAGGTCGCACACATCCAGGTGGCTTTGGAGAGCTCTGCTGACCGGTCTAGACACCTGGCCCATGTGAATCTGTGTCGTCTAGGTGGTGATTTCACTGTTCAACTAAGCTGATCTAGCTCTGCAGGGGTAGTTCTGCCTGGCTGTGCCCCTAGAGCCAGCTGAGCATGGTGCCAGTGTCATTGCTGGCAGAAGGAGGTGGCAGTTCACTGCTACATCAGCTCAGTTGCACCTTCAAACTCTCTCCTTATCTGGGGAGTGGCCAGAGAGGCTAAATAGTGTTGTCATTGATAAACAGGATGAGGAGGCCACCCACTGCTTTATTTTCCACCGTGACAGAAACTTGTGCCAGTGTTTTGAACTAACTTCAATGGGCTGGCTCCATTCTCTACCTGTTCTCATGTGCTGCCCTATACCTTTCACAGCCTTACCTCTCTCCTGGGGTCTTGAAGGAACAATTTGTCCCTTTTTCTATGACAAGATACCAGTCTAGCCTCCGTGCACCAAACCAAGGAGACACAGGTTGAGGGTTTAGGGTACCCAGTGTTTGCGTGTGGAGGTATGCCCAGAGTTTACTTAGCAGGTGTGAGGTCACCCTGTGGGAATAGCGTATATCTATGGGTAAGAGAGAGTTGAGTTTGCCCAAGAGCTCAGGCAAAAAAACACACATGTTTTCTAGCAGCAGTTAAATGAGCACTGGGGTATCATGGGGCTGGAGAGAACAACCTCCTCAGGCACTGCTGTAACCACAGTGGACTCCACCAATGGCCATTTTGAACTGTCCCTTTTGAGAACAAATGTTTTCCAGACTTCTTTGAGATGAACATGCAAAACAATCAGTTTAAGGGGTGGTTTGTCTTCTCTTGCTTGCAAAACATGGAGAAAAAAATGGAGAGAAATCCTTACCAGGAGTGCAAGTCCAACCGTCATGGCCACAGCACTTGCCAACATACCCATCAAACCAGACAGGAACAGGGAGCGTCTCCCTGCCTTCTCCACAAGAAAGACCTACAGAAATACATGCAGCGAATTAGTTTCTGGCATCCCTGTTCTCAGGAGGTTCATTCAGGTCTATTAGCTGTGAACAGCTTACCACTCTTAGCAGTGGACGATCACCTGCTGCTCTCCTAGCTCACATGGTAAGAGATTTCTGTGCTGTTTCCAAGAGTCACAACTGAAACTCTGCTCGTGTCTATTGGGGAGGCATATTAAAGAGCGGCTTTGCCAAGGGCAAGGCAATGCCATGTACACACACAGATCTCATGCATTTCCAAACCCTGAGGACTTCCCACTGTTCTTACACATGTATTGCTATCCAGGAACTTTTTTATTTATTTTTTTTAAGGAAGAATAAAGTCACAAGGTATGCACTAGTTTGGAAATAGCCTTCAAAATGTAACATGATACAAGTTGTATCACATGCCATTGCACGGCACCTGTACTAGAGCAGGGATAGTTTTGTAGCTACAGCCTGGTCCAGGCAGCTGGAGACAGGATTTTTTCCTCCTATGGCTTCAAGACTTTTTCCTTCCCTGGTAGCCACAAGGGACTTAACTTGCCCCTTCTTGGCATCTCTTGGGGGATACCAGTCGTCTCACCCAACTTTAGACATCTAAGTCTGAATCAATCACTTCACCCAATGGAGAACTGTAGGTAACTCCGGAAAGCAAAGCACCTGGCCTCCTGTAAGATACCATACGTACTCAGCCTCTGAAGCTGCTCCTTGCCTTCCCTGTTAAAGGACACCTTTGGCTGTAAGTTCAGTCTAATTTTCCAGAAATTATGGCAGTTGATTTCTGCTTCTAGGAGACTGTCTCTTTTTCTGAAGGCAATTCATCCTGCTAACTCATTAAGTTGCAGATAGCAAGCCTCCGTGATCCCTTCTCCCCTTGCCAAGAGCCTCCCGACTGTCAGGGGTTCTGCAGACATGCCTTTTGATCAGGGTCTGTCATTTATTGACAAACTGTAGATAATTTTTAAGTGCTCATGGCCAAAAGAAGCAAAGAGCAAATGCTCTCAGGCTGCAAGTACAGCACACCCATTGCTGATATCGAATTGCAGGAGAACAGATGAGCTACAGGCTCTCATACAAGTCCACACAGCCTAGGTCCTTCATTTCACAATAAACACATTTCATCTTCTTTATTGGGGCTGGCTGTACTTTCTATAAAGCTGTTACACCCAGAGAACTCCTATCTCACTGACAGTAAGATGTGACATTTTATGGTGGACTAAGACCTCTCTGAGCTGTGTATTTCTACCTTGCGTCTAGTCCTGCTTCATGGTGGGTAAAAGGCCTTTGCTCCCCAAGACTCTCTGGAGATATGAGGGAAATGGTTTGGCTTGGAATTTCCTGCTCTTCTGATAACTATGGCCACCTTAAAAATAATTATCTGCTGATTGGAATTGTGTTAATACTCTCTGGAGAGTGCCAAGTGATGAGAAAGACTGTGAAAATTGGCACCATCCTTTTATTGCTACAGAGCAGTGCATAGATATGACGAGGATGGGTGCTATATTAATTTTATTACTGTACAATAGTCTCTGGCTATTTCTCAGATAGGTGCTATGTATATACAGAAGAGAATTTGGAAGATAATAGGTAAGAGAGAGGTTGTGGGCAACTGGCTTTCCCCATCACAACCCAGAGCACCTACCTGTTCCCAGATGAATATAGAACCACCAGAATTTCAGTCTCAAAGGTCTCTCTTATTTTTGTGGAAATGCCAAGCTACCTGAGCTTCCCTGAACATGGCAATGCATTTTTAATTCACGGAGCATTTAGCAATGCTGTTTGATAGCAATGGATTGTATTTCAAGGCTTGATTTTCGAATGGGACATGTCTAAGGAAAGATGTGCAGGGTCAGCCCTGCAAAACTGCAAATCTCAGCCCCAGCTCCAGGATAGATTTTTGTTTTAAAATAAAATTGTAGCTTACTTATTTTTGAAATCTAGGCCAGAAATATTTACTTACAGAGATAACAGTGAAGACTGTGTTCACCACTCCAACGCCAATGGTTGCGTAAACTGGTTGATCAACTCCAGCTCTCTCAAAAATGTTTGTAGAGTAGTAAAAGATCTATCAAAACACATTAGGATGAAGGATTAGATAACAAGGCTTGTAGAACTTTTTGTCCTCTTGAGGGAAGAGTTGTATTTGGCTGCCTGAGATTTGAAGTAATTTAATTATGATTAGTTTTTCAACTTTTTAATGGTTTGTTATAATAATTAAAGCTGAAACTTTCAAAGGAGCCTAAGGGAGTTTAAAATCCCATTGAAATTCCCCTCCTGAACTACAGCAGTTGCACATTTAAAAATGTTTTCTTCCACGTAGTTCTGGGTTTAATCTTGAAAGTGAGTCACCAGCATAGTATGTTGGAGACCTTAATACGGCCGAGTTTTAAATGAATTTTATAATATTCTTGCTGCATTGGAATGACTCACATTTCTCTTTCCTCTCAAAGAACAAGGTGATTCCTATTTTGTGGAATTTAAGGATGGGAAATAAATGGCTCTGTGATCCAGGGGTTGGCATGTGTGGCTGGGCATTGTGTTGGGCTGGGGAATCCAGGCTCTGTGAAGCCTCACAGTCCTGGGGATCAGATCTCCGCAAGGCTGGGCATCTCCGCATGGTCCTCCGCTTTGCAATGTAGAAAATGCTCTTAACCTTTTGCAGGTTAATGGGGTAGAGGCCTCTAGGGCCAACCTCTGTAAAGCTGCCATCAGACCTTCAAAAATGTAAGTCACTTTTGAAAAGGAGGCTCTGTGCTCCCATGCGTAAAATGGTAATTTCTGGTAACTCAGGAGGTGCTGCAAAGGCTGGAATAGAATAGTTATTCTGGACTCTTCATGGGTGTGCACATAGCCATTGAAAAGAGCAAACTGCTGATAAATTCGGGTACAATGAGGGCCACAGAAGTACTCAGCAGGGACCCGTTGTGCTAGTGGATGTGTTGTGCAGAGCTCTCCAAACCATCTCAACCCTGCTCTCCACTCATGGCTGTTCTCAGCAATGGGGAATTCCTTAAATACTAACGGTGGTGGCCTAGGAGGCTACTGAAGTCCCAGAAAAGATTCCTATTCCCCCTCCCCCCTGCCCCATGTTTGGACCGAGCCAGAATAGACTTTTCATGCTTGGTGTGGATTTCTTTGAAGAGAAAGGTTGAGAGACTTACCGCATTGATTCCTGAGAACTGCTGGGATATCTGAACCATCAGCGCCGCTATGACTGCCTGCCTGTATTTCGAAGAGGTGAAAAGCTGCCTTATGGAGACTTTCTTTTCACTAGCAGCTTCTTGTTTTTCCTTTTCCATCTCGGCAATCTCTTTCATTGGGTCACAGTTTCCTCTAAGCCTTTTCAGACCTCAGGAAAAAGACGACCACTGTTTCATTTCCAAAGGGAAAAATGCAAACTAGGAATACAGTAACAAGAGCCATCTCTTTAGCCAAAATTCAAGGTAAGCCATTTGAACGGACAATAGTAGGCACTTCTGAAACTCGAGCTCTGAGGACTCCAGCCTCATCTGGTGCTCATTAATGACCCAGGGAAGCCCCTAAACGTGTCTGCTTGGCAAGATGCAGCTGTACAGTAGTTTTACGTGAGCTCTGAGACACCGGGTTCAAGCTTCATCTTTCAGTAATGCGTATTAGTCCCATACAAACATATCTTAATAGTTCCTGGTCCAGAACTAATTTATACCTTGGCAGCTCAGAGCACAGGTGTGCAATTCTCTGCCCCTAAGCATGTGGACTTACCCTGTTTTAATCAAAGCTCGCTTCTCATCTCACTTTTCCGCTGGTTCCTACCATTGACTGCTCTTATTCCTTGTAGAGAGAGCTGGAACCAGCTAAGAGGTGCCATGCTGAGATACATAAGCTACTGCAGTAACCGCTCTGGATTTGCAGTGCAATTGTGAATAACAGTGAGGAGAGAGAACAGCTGTCCCCCAGAAGATGTCTATTTTACACCTGATTTAAAACCTTTCCAAATGAACAGGGATTTGGGGGGGAGGGGGTGAGAGGGGAAGGAAGGAGAATTGATTTGCCAGAATCAAAGCGTATCCCAGAAACATGCCCATGTCGCCCACACAATGAAGTGGAAAAGAAGTCAAAAATTATGAAGCAGAACAAAACCTTCTGGTAGATCTCCAAGCGGGATTTCTTCCTCCACTACAGTTTCACTTTGCAGAACATTTCAGATTTCTCTATTTTGTTCTCATTCAGAAAAAAAAAACACTTTCTGGAAGGGAGAATTTCCCCCAGAACTGCAGTTTTGGTTGTATCAGAAAACTCTGTTCCATCCATTTGATGGAAAGGAGTAACAGAATAAGGCTCATAGCACAAGTAGTAACTTATAAGCACACATGCATTAGTCAGTGAATATTTGTGGGTGTCCGAAATCCCTGTGGTGAGTGTGCTTGCCGTGGGATGGAGCAACTATACCCGGTTACATATGTATGCACTCAGCCAGACTTTTCCCTTTTCCTGTTTAATTCTAAGAGGGTAATAGAGTAAAAACAACTTCAGAGAAAACCAGAAATTATGTCTTACTTTTTTTAGCTTCCTCCACTTTTCCCAGTTTGATGTAAAGGTATCTGGGGCTCTCAGGACACAGCAAGAGCAGGAAGAACTGCAGGAGAGCAGCCGCACCAGACAGAGCAAGGAGCAGGGGCCACATCTCATCATTGCCCAGCAGAAAGTCTAGTCCAAGGACCTGGAATAATTGAGTCGTGTTTGAATGGAGCTGATATATATTATGCCTTATGACAGGAAAATGATTGACTTCTATGGCATTTCTAAGTGACAACACAGAAAAAAACTAGAAGCAACTAGCTCTTCTCAGTCCCAACAATTTGATTTCTTTAGTTATGATACACATTTGCAATGAGGAAATGAACAGATGGCATAAAATGTCATGAACAAGGCATAGACAGGCCTATCTGTGCTGTGGGACAAGCCTCTGAAACCCCTCTGCCCATGTGGCTCAATGCTCCAGCAAAGCCACGCATAACCTGTGCCGCTGGCGGCGTGAGTTCGTCTTCAGAGTTTGACACTGGCTGGAGACTGGCTGTGTCTGGCCAAGCAGAGAGCGAGTGTTTGGTTAGCGCTGCTTTGTTAGTCCGTGATCATGTTGTCCCACCTACACTGCTATGTGACTTTGCAGATACCAGGTCACAGGTGAAAGTCTATTTGTAAGGCTATGCAATAAATAAATGGTAAAAGAGAGCCAGAATTAGCCCTCTATGTAAAGAGGCTGGCAAATATAGATATGCAGATGAAATATTTTCTCCTCAGACCTCGCACTCCTGGATTTTGTGTACAATGCTTTTTGCTTTCTGTAATTGCTCTTAGGAGAACATAAAGGAGAAAAAATGTCATCGAATGCACTTTGAGGAAAACTCTCCTGTATTCATGAATCTGCGTGTCTTTGGTGTTGACACCCGCATATATATAAGAATATAATTTAGCCCTCTTGAGTTCTCCTTGTCAAGCTCTCCTCTCTGCTTCCTCCGTGCTCGCTTCTGGCAGAATCACAATTAGCTCACGCAGGTGTGCCTGCATAGCTGCCCTAAGGAGCTCCACAAAGGTCTGGAGCTCAAATTGAAAGTCATGCTGCGTGGGACGCCTGATGCACCAACACAGAGTGAACTCTGGGGCCACAAAACAGCATTTGAGGTTGACTTTCAGCAAATATGCTGACTGCAGCTTTGTTTTGTGTGTGTGCTTATGGTATTGAAATAGGTGTTCCAAAGAGGTTGCGAGGACTTCAAAATTGAAATGAACTTTCTAAGCGAAGCATTGGCAAACTTTTTCTTCAACTATTTGCAAAGCTTTTTTTTTTTTTGTATTCTCACAGCTAACGAAGGAACCTACCTTACAGTCTTTTTTCCCACATTTTTTCCAGAAAAGAACAGTAAGCAATATTCTTTGGCTAAGTCAGATAAGATGAATTTTGTGGTTACTGTAAGTTTTCTGGATGTGTTGGTTCCAGGTACGTTTGTATGCCAGCCTGCAACATACCTGGGACTCCTGCCACAGTAGACAATGCTGATAGGGACATTCCTAGTTTTCTGATAAAGCCATTTTTGAGTACCTGAATATGAAGGACCTCATGTTCAGGATCCAGTCTGGCTCTGATGAGATGCACGCAAAAACTTTGCAGGGGAGGAGAGAAATTGTTTGCAGAAGTATTTTTGATTTCGTGAGAAGAAGCGCTCTTTGGTAAGGATGCCTCTGAATCAAGGTAGGAATTCAATCCCATCAGAGCAAATTGCTTCAAATTCTCCCTCAGTTTTGGGGTGAAATTATAAGAGATTTCTTAAGAGTTTCCTCAGATGCTCCCTGGGGGTCTGCCTAATCACAAAAACCGCTCTGGTCCTGCGCGTATTCCCTCTTACCTGGCTGATGAGAATACCCGTGACGATAGCAAGCTGGTGCAGTGTTCCCAGCGCTCCTCGGAGGGCCGTGGGAGAGACCTCACTGACGTACAAGGGTACCAGTCCAGAGGACAGTCCTGCACAGAGCATACACGGGCGTCACGTCTTCCAGCTGGCAGCTCGGCAATCACAGAAACAGCTTCCCAAACTGGAAAGGAGGATGGAGCCTGTGTGCTGTTTCTTGTGTCCTGCCGAACCCTTACGTGCCCTTTTCCCTGGCCAGGAGTGGGAAATGCCTGGCACTTTGCAAAAAGTGCTCAAATGTGCCCTGATTCAGAACCACAGTTCAGTAGCTCTTAACATTAGAACATGTACCTAGCACAGAGCAGAAAGGATCTGCTAAGAGAGGTTATTTCAGACCAAAGAGCTTTCAAAACCTTGCCTTGAACCTTCAAAAGGCAGTATTATATATCTGCCCACCAGTGACAATGGTAACCACTTGTTTTTCTAAGGTAATTCTAAAGCAGCTCCATCTTATCAACCTCCCGTCTTCCCTTTCCACTATCTACAGTACTACCACAGATAGCACTGTTATCTAGGGAACATTTAAAACCCCGTGAACAACAACATACTGCTGTAACAACAACGACGACCAAGAGCAAGCCTTAAGGCGCTGCTCACCAAGGCAGGGCTAGTCTCTAGTATAAGTAAAACAAACTGACTTCATGACGGAGCTGGCCCAAATACTTCTGAAAAAGATTTTGAAGTGAGGAGGGCAGGCGTGAGTGGGAAGAGGGAAATCCCCACCCTTGGTTAAATAAAGAAAAGTTTTAAAAATAGGAGGAACTCTTTAACCGCAGCCCTGGTTTGGCACAGCGCAGCCCTTCTCCTGGTTGCTCCTGGGTCAAGCCTGTTCCTGACTCACCGGGGTGCCCGGAGGGGCACAAGCCCCCGTCCCCCGCAGGGGAGCCAGCGAGCTGGGGGCCGTAGCATGTGTCCCCCACTGCCTCTCTGCGGGTGTCCGTGCCACGCAGGTGCCCAGCCCTGCCGCCGGCACGCTGGCGTGGCCTCGCCACCTTTGAGCCTGCCGTGACTTACCGCAGTACAGGCCTGTGATGGCTCTCCCGGCGATGATGAGGATGGGAGAAGGTCCAAATTTTGCCAGCCCCATGAGGAGGTTCCCGGCGATGGAGAGGACGTTCACAACCAGCATAGCTTTAACCCTGCAATTTCGGAACAGCAGAGCGACATTGGGATTGTCAGTCTGGCCCGGAAATCGTGTATATGCCAGATGGGGCTGAGCGCTGCCAGGAAAGGCTGAATGCCCGGGGAGGGGGGTGACCCTGCTTAACACTGGCGCGCGTAACGCACGGCGATGCCCTGTGCCTCGCAAGGTGCGCGCCGCGTTTCTCAGCGGCGTCGGGGGCGAGGAGCGGGATCGGAGCAGGAGGGCTAGCGAGGATCGGCGCACAAGGCAGCCAGCCTGCATCGCGGGAGGGAAAACCCTCGGCCCTTGCTTTGCCATTTCATTCTGGCCCCCTCTCTTATTGAAAACCTTGCTGGTATCCGCACAGGCTGCGGTCAGTCGAACCCAATTGCAAGAGTGCTTCATGTGGGCTTTGCACGCGCCCAGCCGGAGTAACGCACCGTCCCGCGAGCGTTGTTGGTAGAAAATCAGAGCAAATGTCAAGTGAGCTACAGGGGAACGAAAAATAATCGCATGCGAGGAAAGCTGTACGGCAGGGGCGCGATCAGAGCAGCTAAAAGCATATCATACATCCTGTGCAAACGCTATTCAAATGTCCTCCTCTCCCCTTTGTCACAAAAAAGCAGAGCAGAATTAAGCAGGTGATAGAGGCTTCTCATCAATTTCTTGTCTGAAGTGCTAAAAGTTACCATGAAAAGTCTGATTTATAATTTAGGATTTTAATAAGCTAAACGCTTGTCATGTTTGGAACGATATTTTGGAAGGTTGATTTTGTTTTTTGCATTAAATTGGGAAAAAAAATACAAAAGGTATTTCTACGGGGAGGAAACAGTTCTAGGGGGGAAAATCAAACAACAAGGCTTAGACTGTAATAATTTGAAATCAGTAGACGGGAACGCATGTGCTGTCACTCGCATGCCCGGAGAGAGACTGCGGAGGTGGAGGAGGGCTAATGCCGACTTGTAGCTGCAGGCTCTCAGCTCCCAGAAAGTTATGAAAACCAGAATTGCCGAGTTTCGCCTCTGCCAGCGGGAGCGGGCGCCGCGGCCGGCTCTCACCTCCCCAGCCGGTCGCCGATCCAGCCCACGGTGAAGGAAGAGATCATGCCGCCGACGGCAAACACAGACACCGAGAGGGACCAGTACATGGTGAGGACGGGGTGGGGGC